CCTCCTCCTTGTAACAGAGAGCAGACCTGCACGCGTAGTTCTTCCAAGCGCGTTTTGTCAGGTGCACTCAAAAATACGTCGTCGACGTAGACGTCGTTCTCCATTACTGGAACTGCAAGCGGGTATTTACTTCCGTCTTGTCGCGCGAGTTCCAGCAACGTGCGCATCGACAAGTAAGGTGCACAGGCCGTACCGTAAGTGACGGTATTGAGTTCGAACGCAGTCAGTCGTTCGTCCTCAGGGCTGCGCCAAACGATGCACTGGAATTTTCTGTCCTCAGGGGCTACGAGAATCTGTCTGAACATCTTCTCGATGTCGGCTACCATCACGTACTGGTAAAGCCGCCAGTTTGTCAAAATTGCAGTGATATCGCGCTGCAACTTCGGCCCTACGTGGAGGATTTCGTTCAGCGAACTTCCGCCCGCTGATGCGCTCGATGCGTTAAAGACGACACGTAATTTCGTCGTAACGCTTTCTTCTCTCACTACAGCCCTGTGTGGTATATACGTTCGTGAAGAATCTATTGACCGCAATCTGGTCATATGATTCAACGACTCGTATTCTAACAGGAAATCGCTGCATGATTGAAGGAGCGCAGTATTTGGGTCCAGCTTCCGCCGCAGCCGAGTTAACGCGGAGAGCGCTATTCTGAGCGAGTCTCCTAACGCCTGTTCTGCATGCGGTTTTTTAAATGGAAGTCGGACTACGAAACGGCCTTCTTCGTTTCGTGTCACAGTCCTTTGAAAATGCTCTTCGCATTCGGCTTCTTCCAGGGTTTTGTGTGCGATAATCGGCACCGCTTCGATCTCCCAAAACTTTCGAATCGCATTGTCCAATGATTCGAGCACATTGCAATGCAATGAGCTTACTAGTTTGGAAGGTGAAGCACCCTGTACTGGTCCGGACAGAATCCAACCGAACGCAGTTTCTTGTGCAATTGGCAGGTCGTCGTTAATTCGACGTAATCCGCCTGTCAATATACGCGCATACACGTCTGCTCCTAGAAGTATTGAGGTGTCAGCACATAGTTTCGGATCAGCTAATTCAAGTCCCTTATATTGAGACAGAATCTCAGCTTGAATCCGCGGTGGAGTGTACGAGGTGATTTTCTTGACGATCATGGCACTCGCGGTTAAAAACGGCGTGTGGCCTCGTCTATCGCCAATACCAACCTCGGCACTATTTTTGATGAATGCGGTCCGTCCGCCCCCCAGTTCGGATATGGTAGCTGGAGTTCTCATCGTCGCGTTGACTCATCGGTATAAGAAACGTCGCACCGTTTCTTATACTCGAGCAATTCGAAATCTAACGCTTTATTAAAATTTAATTCGATAAGGCCGAGAAAACTCCGTAAACCTTCTTTTTTAATTTTAAAACGCCGTTCTTTAAACAAACTGTGTATTTTGTTAATAATTTAGAAATTTCAAAAAGTAAATTTTTGCGGTGTTACGTTAAAAGTGTTAAATTTAAGTGGCAATAGATAAATCTAAAGACAGGAGAAATATACCATCGTTCAGTGGTACTCAGTACAATGCGCGGAAACATCGAATCAGAAATTTATTGGACGAACTAAATTTGCTAAAAGTGATTGACGACGAACCCCCTGTTCCAGTGACCAGTAAGTGGAAAAGAGCTGAGCGAATGGTCAAGTGTGTTGTAGCGGAGTATTTATGACACTTACCTTAAGTATGATATATCCGATGCTACAGCTAAGACAATTTTGGGAAAATAATAATTTCAGGAAAAGGAATATGTATGTGCAAGCGACATATTCAAGCGATACTAGATTGTCTGTGTCCTAATAATGTTAGAGAGATGCAAAGTTTCTTAGGATTATCAAACTACTTTAGAAAATTTATTAAGGATTATTCAATTAAAACTAAACCTTTGCAAGCGTTGGTTAAAAAGAATGCTGAGTTTGTATTCGATAAAGCATGTATGAATGCGTTTCAAAATTTGAAAGCGGAATTGACTAGTCATTCAGTATTGTGTCTATACAATCCAGTGGCGGAAACAGAGTTGCATACTGATGCTAGTAGTTTAGGCTTTGAAGCCATTATGTTTCAGAAACAGGCTGACGGAAATATGGCACCTATAGGGTACTTCAGTAAGTCAACATCTGATACAGAACTAAATTATCATAGCTACGAATTGGAGACGTTAGCGATTGTTCGAGCAATAGAGCAGTTTCATGTGTATTTACAAGGTTAAGTTTTCGAGGTGTGACCGATTGTAATTCATTGGTATTAGCAATGAAAAAGATAAACATCAATCCGCGAATAGCTCGCTGAAGTTTATTTCTTTAAAATTATTGTTAGAGATTCGTGATTAAATAAGAAAGTTCCGCATGAGTTATATGCACTTCTAGAAACTTCGCAATTTATTTCTGGAAGATTGACGGTATCGTCAATCGCTGGAATTCAATGTTCCGGGAATTCGGAACATCAAATAGAAGAAATGCGAAGACAATAGTTAATCTCTTAAGCCGCTAGCCGCTCGGTCGACTCGTAAGAGTCCCGAGCGAAGAAATACAAATATACGGCACGCACACGAACAGAGAATTCTAAATTTAGAAATACCGCTATTATATTGATCGTGATCGGAATTCGATCATACGATCTAATAGCGAAGGAATTACGTAATAGCGCGAGACAATTCC